AAACAATCTCACAGAACACCAACATCACACAAGGACATACTGAAATCATGGTAAAGTGAGACAAAACAAGACCACATCACAATTCTGTCTAAGCTGGGGCTGGCCAGTTAGTTCAGTTGGTTAGAGTTGTAGTGCTCATAACACCAAGGTCCAGGGTTTGATTCCTGTACCAGCCAGCCACCGAAAAACAAGACAAAACAACAACAACAAACAACACGCATAATTTTGTCCAAGCACAGACAAAGAAAAGGTCACTGTGGGACCCACAAAATATCAAACATCTCCTTTTCTTGGCAAATATGAGTGATTGCTACTTCTTTACCAATTACAACTTTATTCTTGTTCAGACCTGTCCTTCCTGTAGATAAGATTTTTTATGATACTAGAACTATTCTCACTTTCTGACAGCACCCAGTCTAGAGCAAATCCCCACCTCCTTAGACCCTTCCCCAAATTACCCAACCAAAGCCCAAACACATTATATAATAGGTCTTTCCTAACTTCCTCTTACTGAGACACCCCATTGTTCCCCATGGAAAGAAATCCACTCGTTAACTGCAGGTGTGTTCCTAGTGGTCTCTGGCTGGAGGAACCTGACAGAATTGCACCTGCATGGAATTTCAGCTGAGACCCTCACTGCCTTTAACCAGAACCCTTGACTCAGAAACAGTGTGCACATCTGAGACTCCCTTGTGTCTGTGTCTATCTGTTTGAGGTGCTACCCACCCCTGGCTGGGAATTACGTTCATGCTGAACTGAGCTCCAGGATTTCACTGAAGCCTTTCAGCGTTGTATTTGTTGTTTTTAGAAACAGGTCCCACTTTGGGCTTTTGGGTTTTGGATCAGAACTGTATTGTTCCCTGGTAAAACTGTTTTCTAGCAACTAACACCTGCCTGTCTAATGTCCTGTCACTCTGTCTGCTCGTGTAGTATGTTGAATGTCCTTTTTTTCTATTGAGAGAGGCCAGGGAATGGGTCCCATACGTTTGTTCTTGAGCTGGCCCTGGAGGGGAAGTGTTCAGTAGGTTTCTTCTCAGGTTGTTATCCTCTGGATAAACTTTGCCCTCAACAGTATATACAGACGGTCCCCAACTTACAATTGCTGGATTTAGGATTTTTGGACATTACGATGGTGCAAAAGCAATACAAATTCAGTAAAAACTGTACTTCGAGTACCTGTACAACCATGCTGTTTTTCACTCTTATAATGACTTCTTCCTCTATACAATTCTTATGTTCCTGAGAACTGCTTTTATTTCAGTTTTGTTCTAGAATCAGGAGGTTTTGTCCAGTTCCTGATCCGTGATCATGGGGCTTTCTTTTTGTTTTCTCATGACAATGCTAACTCCTGTGCATATCTTTTTAACTGCCGCAAATTTCATCAAAGACAGTTTGGATTTACAGCAATCACTTTGGGGAACTTTTTTTTTTTTCTTTTTGCGGCTGGAGTACAGGACTGAACCCTTGACCTTGGTGTTCCAAGGCTGTGCTCTAACCAACTGAGGCAACTGGACAGTCCTGGGAATTTTGATATGAACAAAATTGCTCATTTGAGAGGTTCCTTAGAACAAGAAGGACAGAAAATTCTGACTGTCCAATGGTATGCCTTCTTTAATTGGCATGATGGGGCTTCTAAACACAATTTGAACTCAAAAATTGCCTCCCCTAAAGAATCTTTTGCTAAAGCCAAGACAAAATGTGAGAAATTTAAACAACTCTCTCCCTTGCAGATCCACTGAGACCCGCTCCAGTTCTCCCATCTTTCCTCATCTGTTTTGCCTTCACTCTTGGAAGCTTGCTCAACATCATGAAGTCCCTACAACTCCTGCCTTCTCTTACTGCTCGTTCTGCCCCTCCTCCATCTAAATCAGGTACACTACAGTAGTCCCCTCTTATCTGCCATTTCACTCTCTGTGGCTTGTTACCCAAGGCCAACTGTAGTCCAAAAATATTAAATGGAAAATTCCAGAAACAAAAATTTCACGTTTTAAATTGCATGCTTTTCTGATTAGTGTGATGAAGTTTCGAGCTGTCCTCCTCCACCTTGCCCAGTACGTGAATCATCCCTCTGTCCGGCAACTCCATGCTGTCCACGCTACCTGCCCTTACTCACTTAGTGGCCATCTTGGTTTTATCAGACTGTCTGTTGTGGTATAGCAGTGCTTGTGTTCCAGTGACCCTTATTTTACTTAGTAATGGCCTCAAAGCATAAGAATAGTGATGCTGGCAATTTGGATATGCCAAAGAGAAGTCATGAAGTGCCTCCTTTAAGGGAAAAGGTGAAAGCTTTAGACTTAAAAAGGAAAGAAAAAAAATTGTATGCTGAGTTTGCTAAGATCTACAGCAAGAAGGAATCTTCTACCCGTGAAATTGTGAAGAAGGAAAAAGAAATTTGTTCTTAGTTTTGCTGTCACATTTCAAACTACAAAAGTTATGGCCATGATGCATGATAAGTGCTCAGTTAAGATGGAAAGGCATTAAATTTGTGGGTGAACAGAAAACGTGTTCTGACTGACAGCAACATGTTGTGCCAGATTAACTTAATCTGAATTAAATTAAACTTTACCATAGGCATGTGCGAGTATGTATAGGAAAAAACAGTATATACAGACGGTCCCCAACTTACAATTGCTGGATTTAGGATTTTTTGACATTATGATGGTGCAAAAGCAATACAAATTCAGTAAAAACTGTACTTCGAGTACCTGTACAGCCATGCTGTTTTTCACTTTCAGTACAGTATTCAGTAAATTACATAAGATATTTAACACTTTATTATAAAATAGGCTTTGTGTTCGATGATTTTGCCCAATTGTAGGCTAATGTAAGTGTTCTGAGCACATTTAAGGTAGGCTAGGCTAAGCTATGATGTTCAGTAGGTCAGGTGCATAAAATGCATTTTCAACTTGCGATGGGGTTACATACCCCTTCGTACGTTGAGGGTTTGGTAGTATCTGTGGTTTCAGGCATCTACTGGGGGTTTTGAAAGGTATCCCCCAGGGATAAAGGGGGACAACTGTACCTCACTTAAAATTACAACTCCTAGGAAAGGGGCATCCTGACACTGACTCGTATGTAGATTTTAAGCCCTGGTTGTGTTTAGACGGCTATGCTATTGTTACGGACTTCCCAAATCTCAGAATGGAAAGAGAAATTCATTACAGAATTCAGACTTGTCTTGGGCACACAGAGCTAGTCCTCTCTGACCTCTCCTAAGCCACCTGTTGGAGGGGCCAGGAGATGCAAAGGCTCGGTTAGAAAGCGGTAATTGGAAAGACTCAGAAAATGACTTAAAACACAATGAAATACATTTTTATTCAATCAGAATATCTCAAAGCATATCAAGTAGGACAGGATCTTCTGGGAGCTACACCACAGCCCTTTCATGCTAACATAAACCGGACCTTGATTCCATCTTGCAAGCAGCAGAAAATGAATCCATAAACTTCAGAAACAGACCTATCTGCATCTTTACACAGTTTTCAGGATTAGTTCCTGATGTGGCCATTTCCAATGCCATTTCCACTTTTTTGGCTGATGTTTTAAGGCCAGAAATTGTAGATATGGTACATAAACCAAAAACTGGCTGGCAAATCATTCCATTACATGAATTTTAGTATTTGGCTGAACAGTTTGAAGTGGCTTTAGACACCTAAATGATGAAATCCAAACTAAGCTCATGGGTTTACAATGAAAGCAATTACACAGGTCCTCCTTTTCCTCAAGGGATGAAAAACACTTTCCTTTTGATAGAGATACTTGCTGATACCATAAAAAAGGGGACAATGGGAAAATAACTCTCTTATCCTAGCTAAAAAGAAGAAGGAACTAATGCTTCCCCCTCCTCCCGAGGAATTATGAAGCAGCTCTGAGGGAGATGGTAGTGCCCGATTTCCAGTGATTCCCTTAATCAACAAGGAGCACTATCTTTTAAAGTAGAAGGAAATACACAATCCCTTGTGATAGATATGTACTCTGTCAAACATAAGTCCTACCACGATTTCTACCCACCTCCTGTAGTCATAAAACTGCTTGACTGGTAGGAATTTCAAACAATCCTCAAATTCTTATCACCCAGTCTTACGCTCTGACTCTGACTCCTCACTGGTCAACATGGGTTTCTTCTCTGTGACACCACATCAGTAAATTTAATTAGGAGCGATCTTTCATGTACATGGAACTGCCAAATTAATTACATTTCAGATGGACTATTTCTAGAAATATGTGAAGACTTTCTGGTGCATGATCCTTCAGTAGCTCAATTACATGTCTCTTTGCCTATCCCTACATGTTTGACGCACTTCCAATTTCAGGATTTATGTGAAGTCCCTGATTCTCTCTGGGCCAACAGTTCTGATGTGGAGAGAATTCTAGGGGCTGAACCTCAGGTGTTCAGACCTGCTTTGGTTCCTAGTTTAGGAATAACCATTTGTTAGTGAGCACTGAATCACAGCATAAATTAAATTTTATATCTGTAATTCAATTCCAGGACCCTTTCTCCATCTATAAAGTGGAATAGACATGAGTTTCCATCTTGAAAAGATCATATGGGGTCATTATGTGTGGATACCAGGAGGCTGAGTCATGAGAAAGAATGTTCTGTGGTGACATCAATATTCACATTAATCTGGGAATATTATTTCAAAGGAGGGAAGTGTATTTCCCTCTGGTAGGGGTGACCATGTTGATGAAGTACCACCATTCAGAGTATAAGACACAGAGGTTCCTGAGTACTTTTACTTAATGTCATATGAGCAGTTTTGGTATTCAGTATTCTTGGAAGACACAAAGTTAATGGTGATGGCACATGTCCTTCTTGTTATGTCATTTCACCATTTCCCCATCTGAGGACATTTGTGTTCCAAGTCTCTGTGATTATAAATTATCCGCAGTGGACATCCCCCACAGCTGAGGACATTTGAATCGCAAATAATGGTCAAAAAGCAGCTTGGGTACATTATGGTTAGTAGTAACTGGTCAAACACGGACCCCCCACGTACCTGCCCAGAGCTCTGAGGTTATATGAGGGGCCATCGGTGCAGCCATCACCATCAGGGCACAGAGAGCATCCTCAAATTCGGGGCTGTGGAGAACAACTCTCTGAGAAGCTTGCTGAGGAAGAGAAAAGAACAATGTGAGAAGACTGAGGTGGACAAAATAAGCAAGGGTGAGAAAGGTCATTAATGTATCCAAAGTCCAGAGACAGAAGCAGGTGGAAGAAACCCTCTTTACTATCCATTTTTGCTCAGAACAAAGAACTTCTCCCATTTAATCATGATATTAAAAACAGCTACAGCACCCAGCAGCAACCACCAAGCTGATGCAGGAAGCACCCCAGGCTCTCCTAAGCCAGGGCGGTGGGGGTCCGAGGGCCTCAGCCATGTCCCCCCAACACCCACAGCAGCCCAGCTGCGACCACTGAGCTGCTCCAGGAAGCGCCCCAGACTCTCCCCAGCTGGGGCAGTGGGGTGCCTCGGGCCTCAGCCACCCCCCACATGTGCAACCAGCCCAGCGATGACCACCAGGCCACAGCAGGAGAGGCCCTGGGTTCCCAAGCTGGGACTGTTGGGGATGGGGGCTTTTGCCACACCCCCCTGACATCTGCATCCAGCCTGGCAGTGACCAAGCCACCACTGGAAGCCCCCCTGCCCCCCTGTGGGAATGAGTGGGGTGCCACAGGCCTTAATCCCGCCCCTCCTCCTTCCATTCCACTTCCCTCCCCTTTCCCCTCTCTCCCTGCCTCCCAACTGCTCTGCAACAACATCCTAGAATGTAAAAAATAATATTAATAAAATTACATTTTCTTTAAAAAGAACAAAACCAGAAACAAAACAGCAGCAGCAGCAACACAAATACATTACTATTTCGAGTATTTACCACGCACTTTAACTCATTTAGTTCTCACGACTACCCTTCAAGGGCATATTCTTTCCCCCTTTGACAGATGAAGAAGCTAAGGATCAGAGAGGTGGGGAAATCTGCTCCAGGGCATAAGGTTAATCAAGCTCTTATCCACGCTGCTAGGTTTCCTGTGTGCTGCAGGTCCAGGTGAGAAAAGCACAGAGACCTGCTCAAAGGTTTTGGACCACTGGACCCCCAGGACAGGTCCTCTTTGCCCCCTTCAGGTGTCTCGGGGATCCCATTCTCTTAAACAGCTTTGTGAGTTCCAGTAAACAGTTTCTTCCTGAGGTGTGGCTAAGCAGTTAACTGGTCACACCCACTCAATTTACAGAGCTCCAGGGCATAGTCTCTACCCTCAAGGAGTGTACAGTCAGGTGGGGAGGAAATTCACAACGGAATCAGGATGTGACAGGATTCGGCAGGCTGCTGGTGGGAGGAGGGCAGTCAGCACAGCTCATGTGAACTGGGTGCGGAGTCAGAGAACAGCCAGGAAGGGAGATGGGCCATCCTGAAGTGGCCGAAGAATGTTGCCAGAAGGACTTCGTGGAGGCTGGCAGTTCTCATGACACCCTGTGGAAGTCATGATAAAAACTAGCCTAAGGAGGTCATAACATCCTGTGACAAAAACAATTCTGGTTTAACTTTATGACATATTTGTTAGGCTTCAAAGTGGGGGCCCACATGATGTACTCTGCTGGGTATAGAGAGGCCAAAAATATTATATACGTGGTCTCTGTTTTTAAAATGTGTATGTACACAGGTACTTAAAAAAACAGAATTAAAAGATATTATGAATCTTTCCATGTGGGTATAGAGAGGCCAAAAATATTATATACGTGGTCTCTGTTTTTAAAATGTGTATGTACATAGGTACTTAAAAAAACAGAATTAAAAGATATTATGAATCTTTCCATTAACTTTCTTAATTACCTGTAAATGATCTTTTAAGAATCACCTAATATCAAAAGAAGAGAACAGAACTGAGGTTATCAGAAGTGGGAAAGGGGAAGAGGGGAAGAGAGAAATTGGTAAAGGGCCACGAAAAATGATTATATTTTATAATGTTGAATATACTAATTATCCTGATTTAAGCATTACATATTGCACATAGGTAATATTCAACTCTGTATCCCACAGAAATGTATAATCAACTATGTTACAAAAAAATCACCTAAGAGATTTGAATATAATTTCATTGTTAAGGGTATGGAGAGTCGACAAGAAAGGCTGTGGGCAGAGCTAGCTACGAGGGAGTAGCAATGTCATTTTTATTTTTTTTTAATATTTGCCTTTTTTCCCTGATATAAAAAATAACAAACACTCAGCACATAAAGATTTTGGAAATACTAAACCACTTACAACTGTACTGCCCAGAAAAAGTCAGTATATTTTATCTCGGTCTCCAGAAATGCAAAAATATGTGTATATATACACATAACATTTTCATGATTGAGATTTTTGTATGCACACTTTTGTATCATGTGCTTTTACTTAATGTCATGTGAGCAGTTTCTGGTATTAAGTATTCTTGGAAGACATGAAGTTAACGGTGATGGCACATGTCCTTCTTATTGATATGCCATTTCACCATTTCCCCATCAGAGGACATTTGGGTTCCAAGTCTCTGTGATTATAAATCATCTGCAGTGGACATCTCTGGGTCAAAGGATATACCCCATCACTGGGTTACCAACCTCACAGATGGAGTGCTTCCTGGCAAGGTTACACCAACCATGCCCATCTTTGATGTGTGAGAACCTGTTTCATCATCTTTGTAACAGCATGGAGAATAGTTAAGTTAGAGAATCTCTGCAAATTTGATAGGTAAAAAATACCATCTTGTTTTTAATTTGCATTTCATGACAATCAGTGAGGCAGAATACTTTTTTTCTCTACAAGTTTATTGGCTATTTCCACATCATTGTCTGTGAATTATTATCTTGTCGCATCTTTTTAAAATTTTTTTTATTGAATTATAATTGATTATACATATTTTGGGGGTTCAATGTTGACATATGTTGATTGAATCAATACTACTAGTATATATATTGTTACAAATTGTATTTATTCTTTATGCCCCTTGTCCAATCTCTCCCTATTCCCCTCTCCCTCCCCCCTCCCCCCCCTGATAACCCTAGATTTCTTCTCTCCCTCTGAAAGAGTAATGGTTATTACATTGATTTTTTGCCTAGACGATCTGTCCAATGCTGAGAGGTGTGTTCAGGTCCCCCAATATTATCATAGAGCAGATGCTGCTTCTGTCACTATGGAATGGGCTTTGTAGAGAGAGACATCCTCTTCTTTTCTTTGGTCTCTGCTGGTGACTGTTCTTGTGTCAATGCACTCCAGTGGCTGGTGGACCATCTGCGTGGTGGTTGTGATGTCTAGCCACTTTCCTGGCAGCCGTGGCTACTGTGGTGATTGTAGTGGGCCATCCACATGGAGGTGATGTTTTTGGCATGCTCCTTGGTGCTGGCGGTGTGCCTGGTTGTTGGGGGCATGTTGGGGGGGGGCTGGTCCCTGGCTCGATGCCTCAGGACCCTGGTGGGACCCCAAGATGCAGGCGGTGGGACCCCAAGATGCAGGCGGTGTGCCTGGTTGTGTGTGGGGGCAGGGGTCTGCTCCCCATCTCCATGCCTCAGACCCCCAGCGGGTCCCGAAGTGCTGGTAGTGTGCCTGGTAGTGGTGGTGGTGGGGGTTCCAGTCCCCAGATCCATGCTGCAGGCCCCCCGGCAGGCCCTGAGGTGCTGGTGGTATGCCTAGGCTGGAAGTAATTTCTTGTCTTTTGCTTACTTCTAAAATGGGGGAACTTCCAGTGCTTGAGCTCTCGGTTGAAATAAATTGTTGCTTTGCTATTTCCCTAGAGAAGGCTTTTTGTGCAGCTCAGGTTTTAATGATTGACTGTATAGGTACTTCCAGCTCTCCAGAGACTCGTGCACTGGGGTTGTGTAGAAACTCTGATCTGGGCCTGAGCCTTTTCATCAAACTGCACCCCATGCAATTCTATATTCCTGACCAGTCTCATCTGAGTGGTCCTGTGCTGACTGGGGGGCGGGGGGGATTGGCTGTCATTGCTGTGTCCCACTGTTCTCCTGGTGGGCCTGTCTCCCCCAGCACCCGTGCTCCAAACACTTCCCACGGGACAGGCTATGCACCAGTCCCTTGCAATGACTCACCGGTCTCTGAGTGGCTCTTTTCAGTTGTTCTGGCTTCTCGCTCCTGTGTGTGTCCATGGGAACCCTATTAGAGGTCTTGCTGTCCTGGGGGCCACCAAGGCCCTCTTCTCCCCTGCCACCTTCAAGCAACTCCATCCAAAGGGCACAGCTGAGGCTTTTGCCAGCTCCTGCTCCATATGCTTAGTAGCTCCCGCCTTAAAGTGGCCATGGACCGAAATGCTCCGAGCAGTTTTTCTTTCTCATCGTGGCTTCTCCCACCTTCATGAACTCCGTAGGTCTCTCCTCCTCTTCCCCTGAACTCTAGCGGCCCCAGCTTGGCTGTTGCTGCTTTTTTATAGTTGTAAATTGGTTGATTTGTGGGAGAGAGTGACGCTGGAGTCCATCTATTCTGTCATCTTGACTGGAAGCCTTCTTTTCACATCTTTTGACCGTTTTTTGGTTAGGTATTTTCACATTAATATGTAAGAGTGCTTTGTATAACCTTCTGTCTGACATCTGTTATAAATGATTTTCCTAGTTTTTAGTTCTTTTAATATGACAAGTTTTAGTACATTGAAAATATCAGGTTTTATGTAGTCACATCTGCACATTTCTTCCACTGTTCTTAAAAGCTTGGAGAGGACTTTATTTTAAAAAGCGTTTGTTAATAGTTTTATGCATGTTTTTTGTTGTCTACTCGCTAACCACTTGCCTAAGCACAATTTGTTGACAAATCTTTCCCCTGGCAAGGGAAATAGTAATTACATGTAGCAAGAAGATGAGTCTGCACTGAAAAGGGTGATTTTTGTCTTCATCGAGAACAATTCTGACCCACATAAGTTAAATAAATATAAAATATAAAAATGCCAAGGAAGTATCATGATTCATTCAGGAAATCAGACAGTGGGTGCATGAAGAGGCAGAAAAGAGAGAGGTCTGAGCCTGGTCCTGGATTTGCCGCTAATCAACCAGACATGTCATCTAACTTCCATGGGCCTCAATGTCCTCATCTGCAAAATATTGGGGAGAAGGGGGTTTGGTTTTTTTTTCTTTTTCTTTTTTTTTTTGATGGCTGGCCGGTACGGGGATCCAAACTCTTGACCTTAGTGTTATAACACTAACTGGCCAGCCCAGGAGAAGGGTGCTTGGACCAGGCGATCTTTAAATAAAACTCCAGCAATAAAACTAGGTTGTGACTATGGAGAAAATGATTCTTTAAGGCAACAGATCCACACTGAGGAAGTGATGCTGTGTACTGCTCTCTCTCCCCACAACCTGAGACCTGACAGGCCACCTCACCACACGTCACTCTCCCTCCTCTGCTACCGGCTAATGAGGACAGACATACCACTTACCAAGAGAGCATTGCTGAGTCCCATGAGCTGAGAAATTGCAGAATTCAGTGAGAAATCCTCTGTGAAATGTGTAGTCACCTATTGGTAAAAGTTGAATTACTCATTTTCTTCAAATTACTTTAAGCTTCCCACAAAAGAAACTGAATCATCAGAAAAAAGTGAAATTAAATGAATGTAATCAAAGCTATTTATAGATGTATTCACTATCTTGAATAATCACTATGTTTCATCTGCACAAGGTTTTTTTAATTCAAAGTTAATGCTATTTCCAATATTCAAGCTACCCCACTTGCACCATATCTGGGACAGTGTTGCTTCCCACAGTACGTGGATAAGCAAGAAATGCTAGTTATCTGAATAGGAGCCAGGACTCACCAATGAGC